GGACATAGTAATCGCAGAAAGATGTCTTGTGTGAGTGCCAGATCCCAACTTTGGCTAATTACCAATGATCCAAATCCCCACTAATGCGTGTTCGCGAATTCGACCAGCAGCGTGTAAGAATTATTGGACTGGATCTCTGGTTGCAGTGATGCCTCTGTGCTGTTCCCTACACGACAAAGCCACTCCTATTCGCAGAGGAACCAGGGGAGAGACTCCCATTATTCATGTGAAGGAGGGAAGGGCTGATCCGTTTGGTTGAAAGAGATCGTGTTGTAGGAGGCAGTGATCACGGAGGACGTTTCTGCATTCAAACAGAGTCTAAAGATCTCTCATAGTTAGATGTCAAATAGCCTCATGCGGGAGCCTGATCTGTTTTTCAGGCATCCGTGTCCCTTTGAACAAAGAACGGGGACCCACTAATGGATTCACTTCTCATTCGGACTCGTTTGTGCTTTCAATGACTTGGAACTGTTTCCCATCTCGGAGTCCAGTTGGAGCCACAGCCACATGCTATGTTCAGGGAACGAAAAGGAGGATTCCTACAAGAGAGGAAATGAATATCCAAAGAGCTGCCAGTCATTATGAGAAGCCATCACCAGGACAGCATAACTTTTCCCGTATTACGTGATCTCCAAACTATTGTGGCGTTGGCAATGGTGGAGCCGTCGCAGGTCAGACTGTTCACGTAACTACCGTATCGTTTCAAAAAACTGATGAAATGATGATGATTGAAGCCTGGTAGATTCTCCTTCATAACCCGTTCTTCCCTATATCATTGAACTGTTAAGCCAGCGTTCCTTTCTACTCGTCCTTTCAACGCACTAGAGTTGCTCAATGGGCTCTCTGTGCGCGTGTGAAACGAAGTACATCATATCATTCGTTCAAAGAGTACACGAATAAGTCTGACCATCGACCATCCAAGTGTTCGCTTGACATTCCGTGGAATCGCTCCGAGATTCACGGTGTGACGTGATCGTTGAAACATTAGCAAAGCGCTCGAAATTCAATGGCCGAAAGGTTGCGGAGCTTTGAATTCCCTCCTCACTTGGGTGCAGCGGGGACTCTGAGCATCGCTCTTTCGATTGCGCGTTGACGATGACCGTATGTTCCTCCTATTTTCCTAGAGCCCAAATCTGAAAGGCGTATGTTTTGGTGGGAAGAACAGTGAGAATGAAGTGAGTTCGAAGCTAGGTATTCTCCCTCTCCTTCACTACTCCCACAATGTTATTGGAACTCCCCCCCCAAAAAAATTACTGAGTTCCTCCTCCTAAGCTCTGGTGCTGAATCGTTTCACATATTTATGGGCATTCAGAGATGTTGTTCTGTAGGGGAAGAATGGGGCATCAGAAAGCAATCCGTTCTTCATGAACATTGTCTTCGCCAGAATCGGCTGCAGTCGCAGCCAGAGCTCTTAGCAGGGACATGAAGAGGCCAAGCAGTTTACGAATAAAAAGCTCCGATTTGGATTTGGATGAAGTTTCGGCAATAAACCGCTTTACCATAGCAACTGTGCCAGCATACGCACAGCCATGAAACTCTTCAATTATTCAAATTAATATTTGTTAGAAGAGAATAACATGATTGATGTTTGCTAGAGATTCGCCACATGGTTATTCCTTCTGCTAATATTGGAGGCCAACTGCACGCTCACGTCCGTCATGCGCGAGGTTTACGGCCCCGCAACTATTTCAAAGTGATTGAAAAGTATTCTAGAGGGTAACGCAAGCATGACGCCGTTTTCTAGCCCACCTGCGCGACGCCCGGCCATGCTTGTTCATGGCTGAACGCACTACTTACCTGCGCCTTCTCACTTGTGTTCAGGAAAGGCATCCTCTACTGCTGAGTGCGTGTTTCGCTGCAGACACCGGCATCGAAACCCACTCGCCTCGCACACTGCGAGGACCGTCCTCCTATGTGAGTGTACAGCTTGTTCCAAAGAAAGAGTAGATATCCTGCGTGAGTTGGCAATCAACTTACCGCCAATAAAGAGGGAGCTACTGAATTCTCCAATCTCGCCTTTATTCGATAAGTCACGTTGAATGACGGCTGGCATAAGACATTGCCATCAGAATTCCAATACTCCAATGGAGAATAGGAACGAGAGCAACTGGCATACTCGAAACAGCCTGGGAAGCGCAGAGTGCAGAAAGCTTGCGCTCTTCAAGACAAAAATTCTGGGAATATTCAAAGTTCGTCACCGAGAACTCATCCCGTGCACCATTTTTGGTACAACATTCTTTATTTACTCTTCGTGAAACGTTTTCCCTCCGTGTTTACTTCCTATGCAGCCTTCTTTATTGACATATGGGCTCCCAGTTACCATCACAAATGACTACAGGTCTACCTACAGTACATTTCATACTTGCCTGAAGTCTTTACATTCATTTCTTGTGGATGACTGTGTACTCTCACTCCAAAAATGTCCAAGTAGTTTCTAGAGCTCGCAATTACCTCTTGGTCAATTTTCGAAACTTTTTTATCGGTTTGTCTCTGAGGATAAACAATGACTATTAACTGACCTCATCTTGTTTTCTTTTTTTTGTGATATATCCGGCTGTGAGTGATGTTAACTCGTCAGCATGATCATGTAATCGCCCCTCTTCGAAAGCGTTTCCTTTCACTACTCAGACTATATTCTCAATCAAAAATGGGGGTTTCAGAACATACTCGTGCCCCAGGCACGGCTTCATGCCCTAGCCACTACAATAGGAGGCTCAATCTTGAACCTCCCGAACGAAACACATAAATGGAAAACCACCAATTCAGCATAATCAGGGCCACCCACTAATAGATAGAGCTATCAAAAAAGGACTCTAGTTCATAGAAGGGTGCGCTTAGAACTTTTCTCAGACGGAATGACGAGGTAAATGGATAATGTGGACAACTGCTACAACCCTCTTAGCGTCCGTTCCCTCAAAGGCAAGTGACATTGTAAATCCCCAAGACGTGTAGGGTCAATATACCTAGTACAGAGTTCGGCGCTCCGAGCAAGAGCTGGGTTCCCTTGTCAAGGTGCTACATACCGACTTGGACGCCCACCGCGCCTTCCCGCCCATAAGTGTCCGAGAGTTATGCTTGTGGAGGTCTCGCCTTTCCTGTTGCCACGCGGGACTTTGACAGCTTGGAGATAAGCCTCAAACTTGGGTAATTAAACTTTATCCGGTATATATAGACAAATACAAGTTTGAGATATGTGAGTTGAGTAATTACTGGATAAGTGAGATAGACAAGTTGATGAAAGGCTAAGAGGTCGCTGGCAGATGAGGTCAGCGTCGGTAGAAATGAGCCGGGGTGGGCGGAGCCGGGCTTCAATGTTTCCTGATGTACAGTCCAGATAAAGGCTGTTGGCATAAAGAAACCTGATGACTCAGCCCGAGAAGCCTATCGATCGTCGTTAATTGAGGTTACAGATGAGTCATCGCTAAAATGAGGTGCTACGATAATAGCGCACCAATAAGGATGTAGTAATTACGGTAACCGATGATGAGGATGGTATCGATGATCCTTTGCGGTGTTATCGGGGGAATGGATATGACTCCCCGGGCGCCACGGATGAGTATCCTGGTGAACCTGCTGCGCGCATGGGTACTGCTTCCCTCGTCTCGCGGGAATCCGTGCGGATTTCGTTTACCTGGTGGTGATCGTCCGTGACGCAATTCCTGAATGTCTCTTGTCGTGTGCAGTCGTCTCTCCATGGACTTCGAGACGTTCCTTTTGTGCGATTTGAGCTTCTTCTTTCTCTTCATGTCGTGAAGTCGATCAGTTGAAGTCGGGCTCGTTTTCTCGCGCGTGTGTTCCATTTGTCGTTTCAGACGTCGCAGGTTTATCCGGTCCGTGTCGCGCGAGATCGTTACGAATCTGCCGTTAGAGTAGGAGCATCGTCCCTGTTCGGGCTCGGCCACGCGTCAATGACTGGTGGAACGAACTGTTGGCTTCGTCTGACCGTCTGCTGCGAGGGTGTGTCCCGTGCTGCGCGGTGTTCATCAGCCTGTGGCGATCGTCGAACTTGAAGAGTGTCGAGGGGACCTCTTGTGTGCAAGTCACGAATTGTTCTGAGAGATGCCATTCCAGGGTAGCCGTGCTCTGCCCTATGTCATTGTCATTACGATCTGCTTCGTCTTCGATGCGTTATAGCATCTTACGCAGCCTCTTGCTGGTCTTCGAGCACTGTCTGAAGATCGTCTTTGACTACGGGTTTCGGCTTGAACCTCAAAAAGATGAGCTTGATACTGGCGAGAGCGTCGAACTCTTTCCGCATGGTAGTAGTCAGCTCGACCTTGGTGAGTGCACACGGTTTTCAGCGTTGAGGAGCGCCCTTCAATTTTTGTGTTCGAGTGCCGTTTGCCATTCGAGGAGCTTTTTCCATCTTTCGTCGTAGCTCTGTGCTTGTTGCGTACTGGGTTCTCGTAGCTGGCTGAACTGCTTTACCCTCGAGCGATCCTGATGAACGTATCGCTGCCACTTCGGAAGAAGAGGATATGGTGTTTCCATGTCTCTGACGCAGTCCGGCTACCTCTTTCTGGATCTTGTCGCCACTCGTTAAATGCGAGGCCAATGAGCGACTGTCCGCCCTTGAGTATCTTTATTGTTACCTTCTCCATGTTTTCCTGACGTTCGTCATGAAGTTTCCGCCTTGGTGCTTGTGCCATAAGTCGTCGTACGTGGAGGTGGACGACTTGTCAACTGACTGCCGAAGACGCGAAGGTCTTTTGGAGGTGGTGGTGGCTTCTTGGTTCGGCTGCTGACTTGCCAGACGACTCTTTTCTTTGCCCATTGTGAACGTTCGCTGAACGCGAAGGAAGTAATTAGGTGAAGGTCCCTGTATGAGGCTACACAGAGTGGGTGATGAGCGTGCATGTTGTGAGTAACATAAAGTGACATATTGTGTGGCCAATACATAGAGTGGGTTCTGACTCCTGTGTTTTCACAGTCCTTTCTGGTGCGTGTTGGCGACGTCGTCGAAACAGCACGCGTAAAACTCCTTCGACACAGTACGTATACTACGGTATATCGTCTTCCACAACAGTACTATTATGTGGGACCACAATTCGTAGTCCGGAGCTCCAAGGGAAAACGTAGCCAATAGCTATGCTAGAAGAGCAATGACCACGACCGTGATTCCAAACTTCTACCAGGATATGAACACGTCCAGAATATGTCCTAAATCTGGCCAGTACGAATTTCTCGTAGACCGTGCTCTGTCCAGCGATCACTCCTTTCTGCTGTCGCACGTAACGTTCGGCGTCCAATAAAGAATCCCAGTGAGCTCGAACATCGTTTTGGTGGTTCCACACGTAGTCACGCATTGCTGACGTATCTATGCTCGTGTAAAAGCTGAATCGGAGCGACGAGATTGCTTCCTGTTGGATGACACGGCGGGTGGCGTCGTCGCGGGTTACGATGCCATCGTATACTCTTTTTCGCTGTAACACAGTATGGTTGCCACTGCGCCCTTGCACCAGTGATAACAGCCATGGATAGTGGAATCCTTTGATCGTGCATATCGTGTCTGTGACTTCCTTCTCGGTGGTATCGAAGTCTTCCTTGATGGTCAGAAGAAGTTCTGCCGTGGACAGACTGGACACGGATGCCGCGGACTGTAGCATCTTGTAGGGCCCGTTGGCCATACTCTCGAAAGCAATCCATGATCTTCGTATGGGAAGTCTTCGCCGGTACATCAGTGAAGATTTCAGTGACGTTGTGGTCTACACAGACGCAATTGACGGTGTTTCTGGCTGTTGGCAAGTGTGCAGATGGGGTGACCGCTCATGCCGAGCTTCCCACCTCCCTGTTCGAAGTGCACTGTAGTGGCGGCAGCTGACTTTCATACCACAGAGCTACGTCCTGTCCTGTGGCTATGAACGTCGTGTGCAACACTGGTGAGGGTGGTACGGTAAGCGAACTGAGTGTGAACTTCATGGTTGGTGTTTGTACTGGTATAGTCGGTCGGAGATGCCTGGTTTCGTTCACGGTGGTCTTCTTATCCGTTGTCACTGTTATGTGGAGGACGACCTCCTCTCGCCAGCGTGAGCAGCTGAATATCTCGAAGATTTCGGCGCTTTCCGGTTTCGTGAAGACGCGGTAGAAAAGGCATTCGCTTCTGAGGTAGAAACATCCGCAGCCTGGTCCTCCGCAACTCTCAACGCAGAATGTCACCCCGGGGAAGAGGTTGGCTTCCATCAGTTCCGGAAGAAGGGTGGTCGTGTTGATCCGCATTTAGTGTCCACGCAGCTGCCGATATGGGAGCATCGTTTGGAACTTGGCACGTGTTGCTTTGCCGCTCGTGTGTACGTGATCGTTTGCTTGTCGCAAATGAGTTGAAGTGTCTTCCATTCCAATCGGATCTCCTTCAGCATCTGGCCTTTGTTCGTAATGCGGAAGCACGCTTCCTTGTTGAACGTGTTGAGCTTCACGATCTCTGTGACGTCGACCGTGCAGTTTTGCCGGTGTGATGCAGACTTCGTGCAGGTGGTCATCCTGTGCTCGGATATGATGACGTCTTGGTATGCTCTCGTGCACTGGAATGCACAAGTGACGATGAGGAGAATCGGTACAAATCTTGTTTATCGTGACGCTGATGCCCGTCTTGCTTGTGGACTCTGTCGATGTCCTTTGAGCTGGTCGATGACGGATGAATTTCACGGCTGCCCCGATGGCTGTGCTCATGATCCATCTTACGACGCAGAAGAATATTCTGACGGATTTACCCAGCACGACTGGTACTAGCATAATGTGTACAGGAACGCTATGAGTGCATACAGCAGAACCGCCATGCTAATGAAAGCAGCACGCGGTTGGCATGCAGGATTGAAGACATTTGCCGTGCACAACCAGCAGTCTACTTGCGGACAGAACGGCATAGCTGGACAGGTCGTTTCGACAGTCTTCATTTTTGTTCCGTTGGTCACTTTCCAGTAGACTTTATGCTCGTGGAGGGTGATCCCTGAAGGAAGTCTTATTAGTTCTGACTCCGGTGGGTCGTCACGGGTGATGCAGGATCCTTCAGAACATAGTTCGTACGACTTCACCCCTGAGGTTTTGATATGCATTCCCTCCGGTGTGCATTGTATCGACGCGGTGGATGTACCGAGGCCGAACCTAATGCGAGGACGAATTGTGTGTTTATGTACCGATCCGAGCAATCCGAGGGTACAGAGTATCGTGATAAGTGTTCCATGATGGAGTAAGTCATAGCGAAGCCGCGGTCGACTCCTGAGGTTGTAGCGGTCGCATGACGTACGGGGTGTCATCTCCGTTTCTCGAACCTCTTGCTGCTCAGCGCTTGTCTCAGCTGCTACTTCCGTAGGTATTTCCACTTCTGGTCCAACGTCATTCGCCGACGTGGAGCTGGGTGGTACTATTCCGGTTCCGTTGTCGAGTTCTCTTTGCTGATCGTCTAACTCTAGCGGAACGAGCAGGTTGATCGGGCGCTGTGTGAGTCGCTTGTTCGGTAGGATAAGCTCGACCTCACGTACGACACCTTCCTTGTTGGAGTGGACTTCTGTGATGCGGCCCATTTTCCAAGTGTTCCTGGGTAGGTTGGGGTCCATAAGTAGCACCAGTTTCTTCGGCTAAATGATAGTCCGGATCTTCATTCACGTCTGCAATTCCATCCATCGGGTATGTGATGATCATATCTCGTTGAAGGAAGTCAATCGGACGAAGAGTCGGTCTATCGTTCCAGTGTTCTTCTTGGTACGTTAGCGGACGTGTGTTCAATGTCCGTTCGATCTCCGTGAGCAGCGTGGTAAGTCCTTCAAACGTCAAGACGGCTTTTCCTATGGTTTTGTACAAGGAATGTTTAATGGTCTTGATGAGCCTCTCCTAAAACGCTACCTGCCACGGAGCGTAAGGGGTAATCATCTGCCATGCAGTTCCTTTCGTTGCCATCGTCGCAGCCACCGTTGAGTTCTCTGCTATAGGAGTTGCTGCGTCGCGAAGAATTTGGTCTCCTAACAGGAAGTAAGGTGCGTTGTCTGACGTTTTAGTCTTTGGTACCCCTCGACGGGCGAGGAATCTACGGAGCGCATCTAGTAATTGCACCGTTAACATGTCCTCCACACATTCCAAGTGAATGAGACGTGTCGTTGTACACGTGATGATGATACCGTAGGCTTTAACCTTTCCTTCTCCTTCCCTGGATTTTACCACTATCGGCCCGAAGTAGTCGATGCCGACGTGTTGGAACGGTCGACTCCTTGTGATTCTTCGTGGTGGCAGGTCTGACAATGCCGGATATCTATACGGCAGGTTGTTCATCCGTTGACACGGGACGCATCGCCGTATGACTTTTTGGACTTGCCGTCGAAGCTGTGGAATCCAGTAACGGGTCCTCACTTCGGCCATGGTATGAGCTGTTCCGAGGTGGAGATGGTTGTGGGCGTCGTGAATGACTAACGTGGCTAATGATGCCTGCGGCCCTAATAGGATGGGCTGTTTGCTCTCCTCGGGTAGATCGGAATTCAGCAATCGACCTCTGCACCGTATGATACCTTCGTGATCTGGTACCGGTATCAAGCGATCTTTCACTGGTGGAATCTTGCCTTCTACGTATACGCGTTGATGGTTGCGTATGAGAAGGGAAAGAGCCTGTTGACGTTCCGGAGCGGTGATGAACTCGTCCTCGAAACGATTTCGCAGTTGTGGAATGCGTTCCCATATGGAGGCTCGTAGATCGGGGTTAATCCTCGAAACGACGCGCCTTAGCCATCTCAAAGCATACGAAAAGAGGGAGGTGGCTTGAGCAACGGAAGAATAACGTTTCCAGTCCACGATCTCTGTCACTGGAGTGTGTGTCGCAGTTGCCATGAAGTTTGTGGTGCTCTGTTGAAGCTCTGCCGTTGATTCTTTACCGTCGTTTCGGCACTGTAATTCGGAAGTGGGAGGCCAATGCTCTCGATCCTGACCATTTGTAAGGAATTCTGGTCCAGTCCACCAGAAGTGTCTTCTGAATTCGTCTGTAGTGAGCCCCCGCGTCGCACAGTCCGCAGGGTTCACACCTGTGCCGACATGCCCGAATTTCATTTCAACTCCTTCGTGCTTGATATCGTTAAATATGGCACGTATCTCTTTGCAACGGTTTCAAACCAGTGTGCCAGCATTCCGATCCATGTCCGATGACGCTAACCAAGCGAGCGCTATTTCGGAGTCTGAATATACCGTGACGGACTGAATGTGGAGTTGACGGTGTAACGCATGTAGCGTGGTGTTCACGAGCCGATTGCTGCCATTGTAAGTGCGTTCATCTCTAGTTTCGGGATGGTAGGATTATCCTTGATTGATGGAAGTTTCGACTTGGCCACGAGTAGTACCGAGTGTCCCTTGTGGACGAGATAGACGCAGGCCGCCATGGCGACTTTACTGGCGTCAGCAAATGCGACGAGGCGGGCTGGTGATGCTGTCGATCCGTCGCTTGCTTGTCTCGGTATACTTCTGGAAATTCCTTGGGTGTTGGGAGAATTCGCTTCCATTCAGCTTGAAGCTGGACAGACAGGTGTTGATCCCATTTATAATCGTGTTTCCAAAGACTAGAAACAGTTTCGCATGTAACGTCAATGGAAGCGAACTCATCCATCCTAGTGGGTCGTACAACGACGCCACCTGTTCTGAGACAGTACGTTTCGTGACAGTCGATTTCTCTGAATAACAGCCTTCGAGATCGATCGTATCCTTCTCCGAGTTCCACAGTACTTTCGGCTTTGTCGATGTGCTCAGTTTGTCTTTCGGAGAGTTCATTGACTTCAGCCGAGTTGGTACGGAATTCACGCAGGTTCACGTTAAGTTTCGCAAAGATTTCTCGAGCTTTATGACAGCGCTGTAGAGCTTCCTCTGTTGTGGCCTCCGTCATTAGCAGATTGTCCACGTACACGTTATCCTTGATCAGAGTTGCCATTTCTTGATCCTCTGTACGATCCAAGTGTTCCGCTATGGTGACTCCTAGTAAAAACGGCGAACAGTTCAACCCGAATGTGACGCGTGTGAAGCGAAAGGTGATGATGTTTCTGGAGTTCAACGGTTTGGACACATCGCGCAGCCATAGGCACCTTGTCGCATCTCGGTCACGAAGCTGTAGGTGAACCTATAGAAAGGCCTTTTCTACATCACTGATAATGGCTATTTTTCCTACAAGAATGCGGAATAGCATGCCGATCAGTGAGAGTAGGATAACCGGCCCTTGATGAAGTTTGTCGTTGAGACATGGAGAGTTCTTGTAGTGTGCCGAACCATCGAAGACGACTCGAAGTTTGGTGGTGTCTTTGTGAGGGTTATCACCGCCTGGTGTGCTAAGTAATGCACTACGTCGCCATCCGGTTGTGCTTTTTCGTCCACCTCCTCAATCACTCCTTTGGCAAGTTGATCTTGGAAAGTATTGTGGTATTGTAGCAGCCACTCTGGTTGGTGTTGGAATTTCGACTGATTTCTCGACTGACTGTTCTTGAGCCTATTGTAGGCTATCACCCGATTGTCGGGGAGGTCTTTGGCATCATCCTTCCATAGCAACCGAACGTGGTATCCGTCATCGTGCTTCTCCACTGTGGCTCGAAATTGCTGCCAAACTTTGTCGTTTATGGCTTGAATTTCTTGCTTGTGGGGACCTGTGTATTCGTCGATCACTGAGGACTCCAGGCTCCAGTACTGTTCCCATTTCTCTCGCTCTTGGAAGTCGTCGTCGGCTTGACACTGCAGCGTGTGTAGCCTCACGGTCGAACTTGAGGGAACGGTGTTATTCCTGTCCGTAACGAGATATCCTAGTCTTGAGTGTAACAGCTTCATTCCTGATGGAAGATCGTGTTTGTATTCGATCCCTGTATCGAATAGTGTGAATAGGTCGCCACATCCAAGGAAGATGTTTGTGTGCAGCAATTCAATCTGTGGTGAGATAGACAGCTTAATGTTATCCTCTTGCAAATACTGACATCCTTTTCCTGGAGTAGGGTCCGTTTGACGTCTCCTGTTATGAAGTCTATCTTGGCTAGCTCGAAATTATGGCGGACGCCTTGACGGTCTTCAACTTCTACTTGACCTGTGTCGCAAGATTGCTGTGTTGGGCAGCTGTCGCCAAACGTGTGGATCGTTAATTGCAGTTGACCCGTTTTTGAGAGTCCTAGGTGCTCCGCATAAGCGTTTGTGATGAACGACTGGTTTGCACCTGTGTCCAAAATAAGATGAGTGTCTTCAAATTCCTGTGTTCGGACGTTCCACACTCGGGCTTGCCC